TTTGTGAAAATATTGGAAGTGAATGTGATTTATAGAGGCGACAGGACGACAGGACAGACGACGACACACATGCGGCATGGAACAATTCTCACGGTTGCAACAGCGGCAGCAGCATAATTGAAGCACAGACAGGAAAGGCAGGAAAAGCGGGAAAGCAAAAGGGAATTTTAGTGGGTGACCTCTTTGTTGGTGGGAGAAAAATATATATCATAATATATCGATGAAATTGATTTTTTAATAAGATATCTCAAGGGAAATAAATATTTAAAAATAAAATAAATATTTGAATATCAGTGGAAATATCTATAAAATATTATTCTCTAATCATTGAAGATTTTTTCATTAATAAATCATTTAGGGGATTTCCAAACCCACTCTTCAGAGATCATATCGTTTAAGTGTTCAATAAACAAAATCTTTCAGAATTAAATTTACTTTCAATCATCCCAAGAAAAAGAACCTGTTTCTCGTACAATCCATGGGTTGTATCTGCATCTTTGCATTCCTTTAATTTATACGAATATCCAAAGCACAAGACAAACCATGCAGCAAAGCAGCAGCACAGAAAAATGGAATTTGATTTATTGTGAAATTTCGATTTTCAATGAAAGTAAAGATCGAAGAAGCAAACGAAAAGGAAAGACGAAAGAGCAGCCTAAAGGATGCAGCAAGAACCATAGAATTGCAGTCGTTCTTTTCGCTTCGATTTCCAGATCATCGACGGCGCGACAACAATGCCAGATCATAAATAATAATTTCAGAGCAAAAAACAGTCCAAAGAAGAAGGCGAGGCAGCAGGCAGGGGCATGCCTCTAAACTGTAAAAACAGGTAACCTTCAGAGGGACGGGGATACGCGGATTCTTTTAGCCTCGAAAGAAGCCAAAAGTCATGTACTTTTCAGGGACTTTGAAGACAAGATTCAGATACATTTTGCAGGCGTAAGAGCGAGAGAAGAGCGCAGCAAATTGACACCAAAAACCGAAGGACGCATATTAATTTTTATGACCATTGCATAATCAAACGAGTCAAAGGCAGAAGGAACCTGAGAGGCAGTAGGCAGGAGGCAAAAGGCAAGTAGGAACCTCAGGACCTTCCGCCTTGCAGGTGACTTCCTAATGGACCTTAATCCTAATTTTTGGTTGGAAAATTCTCCCTCATTTATGACTCATTTATGACATGTGCACGCAGGCCGCAGGCGGCATTGCAAGTGACAAAAGGGAAAAATCATAAAAATCAGCAGGTTTTTGCCTTGCACTTTCATTTACCAAAGAATTTCCATTGTTTTCCCGTTAGTTTGTTGTTGCCTTTTCAAGGACATTTCGGGCATTAAAAAATTGACTTTTCCTTGAACAAAAATCTGTACCTTTAGAGTAGATTTTTGGCAAAGGTTTTCAGAGATTGGCGGGCAAACAAACATATTGGAGGATTTTTAGGTAGATTTTGCAAGAATCTTTGCAGAGATTTTGATAGATTTTTTCCGTAATTTAAGGTAGATTTTTGGTTTAGATTTTTAGGTAAATTTTTCGTGCCTTAGTTTTGGGTAGTTTTCCCCTGCTTTTAATTTGTGTATTTTCATTCGCGTTTCTTGTGTTGCTTTCTCTTTCGCTGCTGCATTTTTTTTGGCCTGAAAATGTTCTGCAAATATTTTTCGGTTGTGTTTCGAGGAGTTCTGTTTTTTTCTGTGAGTTTTTTGGTGAGTTTTTGCGTTTCGTTGTCGCTTGGGTATCTCTTTGCCATAAATCATTGTCACCCGCTTCGCTTCGGTTCGTTTCGGGGCGCAATGTCACTGGGAGGCGCAGCAGCAGGAGCTTCCCGCTGGGCGGCTGGGGCCTCGAACCGATGCCTTGTACCTCCCTCTAGAGCTCTGTCTCTCTGTGCCTGTGCCACTCAATCCTTGGCCCCTGGATACTCCCATTTCAACTTCATTTTCGACTGGAAAGCCCACTACACAGTGCCTGCAAACAGTTCGAGTGCTGAGAAGCAGAATTCCATTTTACTGCAGTAACAACAAACATTTTGTGGGCCTAGTATTCTCTGAATAAAGAAGGGTTTTTTTTTGGCAGCAGAAACAGCAACAACAACTAAAAGTTTTTTTTTTTAAGTTTTTCCAACAAAACGTCCAAAACTTTGAACATTCGAGTTATTTTGTATTCATTTTTTATATTTTAATCATTTTAATTAGCCAATGAAATAAAATATAACTCCAAGCCAATTTTAGCGGTCCCAGAGGTTCCTTAACTATACGATAAAGAAAGCTCCAATAAAATTCTAGCATTTCCGTCGGGGCTTCTCAAAGTCCGGTGGTCCCCAATCCCCAGGGGAGCCTGCAACGCCCTCAAACCGCAAACCCAAACCCGTAGCAAAGCCCGAGATGAAGCCATTTTTTGCCACTCAAACCATAAAAAAAACCCGACACATAAGATAAGCTTATTTCATTTAAAAATAATACCGTTTTTGTGACGCCTTTTGTTTCTTGTGTTTCGTGTGTTTTATGTGTGTGAAATTTTCGAGATTTTGTTAGATTTCTGGTTGGTTTTTGTTGTTGTTGTTTTTCTGTGCATATGATTAATTAGTCATCGTTTTGGTCGTTTCGTTAGTGTCGCCATCCATCAATAGAGGGATTTTATAATATTTTAATTTCAATACTGAAACCCGAAAAACAAAACAAGTTTTCTTTCATTGTTTCGAATGGCATTTTTTCTGCTGTTTTTTGTTAACAACAATTTCGTTTATTTGTTGCTCAGCTTTTGGTTTTTTTTTCGAATGAGGAGGCTGCCTCTTGATTAATGTTTTTACAAAAGAGTTGTCGCCGCAATATAAATCGTTTTTTAAGGTGTGTTAGCCCTGAAGTGTGAAGTTGATTAAAAGTTGAATTGAGATGAAAAATGGTAGAGAAAATTATATAAAATGTTGGGAAATTTATTTGCAAGACTTCTTTCAAAATTTTTATAGAAATTTCATAATTCTATTATTTTAGAATAATATAATTAATTTTTAACTATTAAAAAAATACCAAAAATACAGACATATTTTCTAAAGCTATTTTTTCGAAGTTTCTTGGATATGAAAATGCAATAAAAACATTGAAAAATTTATTGAAACTGGTATTTAAAACCATTAAATAATTGTGATATAAGCCCTTATATATTTTCCCTGATACAGGCCAATATATACTTCATAATTTGATCAAATATATCCCACTGTATGTATCGAATGTCTGCCCTTTTTTTGGGCCATAAATCACGGCAAAAAGTTTTCTGCATTGCAAACAAAAACACAGACAAAACGTAGAGGAGAGGAGGAGTTTATGATTTTGTCAGCTGTGTAACATTTCCAGCTGATTAAATCGATTGAATTATGAGAAAATAATACCGACAATCGAGTGATTTGATAAGAGAGGAGGAAATGGGGAAAATGTGGAGGGGAAAAGTGAGAGAAAAATTAAGAGAAAATGGGGATAAAAAGGGGGTAAATAAGTGGTAAATGCAAATGGAAAATGTGTCAACAAATAAAATGACACAAAAAGTTCATTAAAAACAGAAAATAGGCTCGAAATTGTTTTTTATTTTTTTGGTTGAAAAATATTTAAATTTACGCGCAAGTGCAATGAGAGAAAAGGAAATAGAGAAAAGGAGAAATAGCGAGAACGGGAGTGTGTGCAGGGCATAAGAGAGAGGGGGGTTAAGTGGCAGACGACACACCGAAGAGAGTGCGACAAATATGCAAAAGGCCACCAGACAGACGACCGCCGACCCGACCCGACAACTAGGACAACAACAACAAGGACAAAGGACGACAACTGCAACGCAATGGCCGCATAAATTTTCTACGCGAACCAAAATCCGAATGCAGAGAAGAGGAGCGAAAAGGAGAGGAGGGGAATATCTCTATGTGTGTAGAGACTGTGTATATGTGTGTGTGTGTGCTCCATTCGGTGGGAAGTGAAAACTATGTTGCCCAGGATATGTGCAATAATTCACAAAAGCAGGAGAGAAATTCCAAGTTCAAAGCGGCCATTACTCGTGCGGTCGTGGGCTGGCTGCCCTGCAACTCCGACTCTCAGTTGCACTGCTGCTGCTACTGCTGCTGGTGCTCTTCTGCAGCTTCAAACCTCTCCAAAAAGAGGGGCTCTACGGAGGGGGGCTACAAACTCCTAGGGCTCTAAAAGCAAGGCCTCCAAATGTGGGTAAAATTTATGCAAATGGCTAATAAGCCTGTCAACAGTTGCTGCAGCAGTTTTGTTGCAACCAGCACACACAGCAAATGAGTGATGGACCTGGGTATATCCCGAAATGAAAAACACTTTTTGAATTATGAAGTGTTGAACCTCGTACCTCCTTCTCTCCCAAGAGTTTTGGTTTGGTTTTGGATCTGGTTAAAGTTATAGGTTCTCTTTTACACGTGGAGAAAGGTTTTTGGGTAAATATTTGAGCTACACTTGAAGAAAATGTAGAGGCTTTTAAGTGTAAAATCTTACTTTTATCTTTTCTATATTAATATTTACACGAAGAACTCTGTTCTTAAGAACCTTTTTTATGAAATACAAATCCCATAAGAAACTATTTGTATAAACAAGAGATTGCTAGATATTTGATTAATTAGGCATATTATAAGACAATTTCTTACATGATCGGTGCCTTATATGTTCAGAATCATAGCATAGCTATTTTATAACAATTTCTAATATAATTAACCTTTCTATACATACAAAATATAGTAATATGTATGTGTGTTCCATTTTTTTCCTTGATATATGTATATTTGGAATTATATAGGGGGTATATGAATTAGATACTATGGAATATACACCATATCCCTTGAAACATTTAGCAGCATAACATTCGCGGTTTCTCCAGCTCTTTCTCTGATTTTTCTCCCATTTCCTATTTAAACCACATTTCTTTCAGTGAACTTTTAACAAAATTCTAGGCCATAAATTAACCCAAGTGTTTCTCTGTTTCCCCTATAAAAATTGAAAACCTAAGACCCATCCGCTTACCTTTTAAATCCAATAATGTGTGTGACTGACTCTTATCCTTGGAATCCTGGGGTCTCAATGTTGCCTGCCCCCAACTTTTTTGCACGTACCAAAAAACTTTTGATGCGGCTGAAACTTTTGCTCTTCTTTTGTAATATTTTTTTTGGCTGTCTTTTTTTAAGGCTGGGAATTTAATTTAATTTTGTATTATATGTTTTAAGTGTGTAAATATTGCTCAAGGACTAGATAATGTTGATTGTTTTCAAGTTTTCAGGCTGCTGCACAACAAATGGAGGATTATACGATAGACTATAATATTTAATATAGTAAAAAAACACTTAGATTTTAGGGATCTATTTTTTTGGCTTTGGATTTTGCACAACGAATCGGTTATTTATATAATCCCTATACGGATATATCTTTTATGGTTTTTCTGGTATAGATATTGCACAAATTGAGGATTGAGGCATACCCGGAGACACCTGCTCGACACCACCTTCGAAAAATTGCGCGCGCGAAATTTTCTTATGGGGCTTGTCCTCTCGCTCTTCTCTGTTTTTCTTTGTTTTTCTTTTCGCGGTTTTGTAATGTCGTTGCCGGTCAAGGGCCTCAGAGCGACTGACGACAGGAGGCGACAATATTTTTTACGATTATGATGATTTTTTATCGCTTTTATGATAATTTTCGATAGTTTTTATCGCTTTTATGATCTGTTCTTTACGATCTGTCAATTGAAAAACCTTTTGACAATGGGAGCGTTTTTGTGGAGGCGTGGCGTGTGGTGTAACAACCGCGACGACCGTAGGCGACCGAATAGTCGGTAGTTCTTCTGTTCAGAGCCCCCAAAAAGCGTTTGATACGTATTTTTTTGCTTTTTTTTGGGATACTGTGTAGTAGAGGGCGGCGGTCCCGGTCCCCCTCTCTTTCTCACGCACACACACGCACGCACCGACGGACACACACGCACACGCACGAAAGCACACGGCAGCAAAAAGTCGTAACGAACGTAACGGGGTAACAAACGGTAACGGGTAACGTCGTGTGGATACCACCGTCGAGTGCTTTTTTGATGATGTTGATTTCTTTACGAGTTTGGTAGAACTAAACCCATAAAGCATTCAATTCGTAGCATATAGCTCTCCTCTGCCATTCGGCATGTGAAAATCCTTATTAATCCAGAACGTGTGCGCCAACGTCGGCGACAGCAGAGGCAGAGATGGAAAGCAGCGGAGTATATAAATAATCTTATAAGAAACTCGTGTGCGCCGGCAGCGAAAGAGAGCGATTTTATTTATGTGACTGCGCTGCTTCGGCCACAGTCAACGTCGCAGTCGCAGTCGGGCACCATAAAGCATTTGGAAGAGCAACAGCAACAGAAAAAAAAGCTGCTCTCTCAGAGAGTGAGTTATGTTATTCTGCAGAGAGAGATAGAGAGAGAGAACGTTATTCAGAGAGTCGTTGGTCGCAACATTTGCTTGCGGTAGTTTTCCGATTTTCGCATTCGAATGAAACGTGGAAAAGGCCGAACAAGGCGGATTTTGCGGTACTTTTGTGTTTGAGCTTCGAATAGATCTACGAAATCGAGATCTTGAGATATTACGGGAATTATTGGTTAATTTTGGTATGTTTTCCATTTTAATTTCTAAATATTTCTTTGGTAAAAGTATTTTTTGGGGAAATTAAATGGTATATTATTTGAAGCACCTTTTTGATAATCTAAAGAGCTAAATTTAAATAAACTCCAATATTTCACTATGTGTACGTAGTGCCTTAGACTCGTAACGATCTGCTATATACCTCATTTTTATTAAGAGGATGTACAGAGGATTTTTGTTATTATTTAGAACTAAAATAAAATCAATTTGAAAATGTTTTAGTTTAATATCCTTATAAATTTTTAAATTAAGACCTCCCGCATAGAAATCCATCAAAATTAACCCATTAATAATCAAATATTTAACCCATGCCGTATAATTATCAATTGCCCTGGCGATAATCGAGAGCAATCTGTCGTACGCAAGCAAAATGATGGCCGCCGTGAAATAGTATGGAATCCAATCCTCCACTTTGCCGACGGCGAACCATCATGGCCGTACATTTACCGTACAGATAGATCTCTTGGAAACAGAAAGCAGAACAACAAATCACACGCACGCATAAACCACCCCAACAGAAACCAAAAAAAAAACCACTAGCTCGCTCTCTCTCTCTTTTTCTGATTGCTCTCACAGCTGTTGTTGCTCTTCCTCCCCCTTCCACTGGCAACCGCTGTGAGATCCAAAAACGAAACTTGGCCGACTTTATGCTTGTCCTCTGCTGCCAGCTCTCTGCTGCTTTGCTCTGCCGCTGCTTGCGTCGCCAATGCTGCGCTCGTCGTAAACAGGGAGGAGCATAAAGCATTCCGCTTCTCAGCTGTCGCCCCCACACACTCCCTCCGCAAGATGGATGGCCTGGTGTGCGTGTGAGAGCGAGCCAGCGCTAGAGCGCGTGCAAGCGAGATGGCCAGATGCCGGCCGCGTTAAGTGTGACGAATGTGCCATTATTTTGCTTTATGTGTGTCGTGAGCGAGCTGTTCACATAAATTTACGCAGTCGACTGCCTCAGTCAGCGTTGACGCAGACTTCGCTGCTGGTGCTGACGTCGCAGTCTGGCCTCTGCTTGCGTTGGCAGCGTGTGAGCGTCGCTTGGAATTGGAGCTTCTTGCTCCGCTCTTTTGCCGGCTCCTCTTTTGAGCGAGAGAATCATTTTGTTTGTGGCTGGAGCACGAGGTCCGAGCAACGGCGGAACTTTTTGTGGGGACATTGAAATGCCAGCGGCAAAATGGTGCTCCACGGATTGGCAGGGTTTCGAGACCTAGAAACCTCATTGAGGAGGTTTTGTAGATACATTGAAGCGGCTTGAATACATGTATCTAATAGATTGTATGTTATTTGGAGGGAGATCTATAGAAACGGTTATACACATGTGGATATTTGAAAGAAATAATGAATACAAGGAACGAAAAAAAAAAAATAATGTTCTTGGAATATTACAATAGAAATAGATTGAAAATTATCCATAATAGGTTTTCAGAGCTTAGGGTTTGAGAATCTCTAATGAATATCATGTGCTTATAGGAGGATTGGCAATACATATATTCTAAATTCTATATTGTCTTAAAAAAATATATAAAATATGTTCAGTTCCCCGTGATATTTTTGAACTTATTTACTCCCTATTTTCCACTCAATTATGTTGCAGTAGCAAGGGGCAATAAATATTAAGAGGGAAATATAGACAGAGCGGCCGGATGAATTGGTTTTAAAAGGACACTTGGCGCCTACCTCCAATTCCTCCATTTCCCCGTATTTGCAGAAGGAAGGTCTTTGGGGCCATACGCATCGCTGCTCTTTGACAACTGTTTCGGCTCTAAATCATTCATTCGGTATTCGGGGGGATTCCAGGATCACAGGCTCAGCTGCGGGTCCTTTTTTCATTTCATTCCAAGGTGAATGCCACAGAAAACAACAACAACACGAACAACTCTCTGGGCCCCAAAAAGCAGCGCTCCGTTTCCGCTCCAACAACTAAAATAACAAGAGAAACGAACGGCGCGCGTGCCGTTCTGCCTTGCAGATTGGAGACACACGGACTTTAAAATCTGGTCCCTGTTTCCCCAACCTCTACCTGCCCCTCCCTTCCCGAACCCATCACAGTGTGCTGTGTGTGTGTGTGCCACAAGAAGAGTCTTGTCCAAAAACAAGTGATCGATGAAGTTGCCCGCCGAATTTACGACGTGAAACTTTGAATTGTTTCTCGCATGTCGCTTCGATTTTGCCATCTGCCTGAAAAGGCGCACTACTCGACTCCATGCCCCATGCCTCCAGCACACAAAACTTGACTCCAAGTGGAGGGAGATCCAAGTCGAACCTTCACCTTGCGTTTCCTTGGCTTTTTTGCTTTTACTCTTCTGTTCGTTTCAGGGTAAAGGCTAAGGGGTTTCAAGTACAAAAGTTGTTACGGGTATTGCCTAAAAGTTTTTAATTTTTCATTTAAATTGTATATAAATTATTGAGTTAATTTTAAAAATGATATACATTTTTTATTTAATTTAAAGAGATTCGGATACTCGTTCATTATTTCTGTTTTTTAGAGATTGATTAATTGTTAGAATATAATGTAAAAGTCATGTCTAACTCTGTGCAAATTGTACATTTACATATTTGTATCTAGAAAGATTAAAACAGTTTTAAGAGTTAAACGGTGTTATTCGAATGTTCCGAGTAGATATTCGATTAATCGTAGATACAAACAAGTTTTCCATAGATTGTCTGCTGCAATTTTCTTCCATTTGAAAGGTGCGACTGACTGCACTTTGACGCAAATAATCCGTCAAGTCGATCAGGCGAGTCAATAAATAAAGTCGGGTAATGAAAACCCAACCCCTTAGTCTAAAGACTGCTGCACAGCAGCGTGGGGGCAGGAAGAGGGGCCACAGCAGCAGGTAGCACTGTTGACATGTGTGGAGTACATATGACAACATTTTAATGCTCGTTTATCATCATTTGTGCCCCTCTGCCGAAGCACTAATGCAAACATCAATTGCACTTCCATAGGAGGGGGTGGGAAATATAGAAGATGTAGAATGTCAGTTGAGTGCTTCAAATGTCAGTGCAAAACGGGGGAAATTATTGATGAAATTATGTCTCAAGTTTCGTGATGGTTTCCCCAATGGTTTCATGATTGATTGGATGATTTTTAGCGAGAGTTAGGGGTACATATCTACAAGCATTAATTCTCAAAAAATTCTCATAATCTCCCTGCCTATTTATTATTTATTTATCAGCAAATAAATTCACAAAAACTATAACCATTTTAGGGGGTTCATCTAAATAATGATATGATTATGAAAGACCCCTCCATAGAGAGGGGTAAAGTGGCAGAGTGGAGCAAGGCAGTCGGGCAGGAGTCAGGAGTTCGTATTAGATAGATATATTTATGTGTATCTCTCAGATCGAATGAGCAGAAAATGCGTGTGCGGCCATTAAAATGAAAGAAGGGCGGAACCCGATTGTGGGCGGTACCCCTGGGTGGGGCTCCCACTGTTGTTGGGCCACTGAAATACGATGTGGCAACACCCCGAGGCGCCACTACGCACCCACGCACACACACCTACTCTCCCTTCTTTTTTTCTGCTTTCTTTTTCTGCCGTTGCTGCCTCTCGCACGCACACGCACGCACGCACTCGACACATGGCGCTATCGGCGCTTCCGGTGCGTGCGTCTCCACATCTGCCACGCATACCCCCACTCCCCACCCACCCACATGACTACCATGACCGCCCCTCTGAGGAGGTTTACTCGTGTGGCAGAAGGAGGCGCCCAGGCGTGGCCCAAGGCGATTCCAAGGAGCAGCTGAAAGAAGAGGCAGTGGCAGAAAAACAAAATAAAAGAATCTAAAACGCAATAACTTTGGGGTGAAAATAGCCGAAAATATCGATGGAGGAGGGACGCAGACACCACAGAGCTACAACAACAACAAAAATAGAGGAAAGGCATAGAAAACTTAGAATAAAAGTTATGGGAATGACAGAATGCCCTTTAAAAATAAACTGAAAAATATTTTTAGCATTTTCTTTAATATTTTATATTTTATTTCATTTGGATTTTATTTTTAGTTTTATTAAATATTTATCGAACTTTTAAAGTTTGATTTCTTTGTGGATTTCTTTTAACCTCAAAGAACTGCAGAATAAATAATATTTTCTATATTTATTTCCAATCAATTTCTAACAGCAAATAAAACTCTTTTATATTGTTCTTCGATGTTACTATACTTTTCCGGTAAGGGTATTCCAAAAAGGCGCAAAAAAAAGTGAAAAGAAATCCTCCCGAAAAAATAGAAATAAATTCCTTTGTGTGGTGGCTCTGGGCTCTTATCTATATGATTTGTGATTCTGTTCTGGGGTGTTGTCTGTCCGTCGTCAATTGTTGTTGTTGTTGCAAGAATTGGGCGGGGAGGGGAGGTAACCATCCATCCTGCCCCCAAAACAACAGCCTAATGGAATTCCTCTTACAGCAAGGATCTAAATACAAGAAAAAGAAACTAAGCAAACAGGACTTCCATCGCTGGACC